TCCACCTACCAGAGGTATTCAGGATTTGCTGATAGTCTATTCTATCATAGTGGAAAGCTTTTAAAGTCTTCTTTTCTTATACTTTGCACAAAGGAGATAATCTCAACCTTTCTCAAAATAAATAAATAAATAAATAAATAAATAAATAAATAAAATTTAAAAAGCCAAGAATCCTGAATAGAAATGAGACAGGAACACTTTAAAGGTGTTAGCTGCAATGTCAACTCTAAGGAATGCTGTACAGCATCACATCCTTATTCCTCAGGTGAATGTGCCTCAGGGTCACTCCACCTATCTGACCACAATTTGGTTTTGAGAGGACAAAGCTGGTCATGCTGCCTTGCCTTGACAAGTCAAGTTAGATCATTATATTTGTTTATTTGTTTTTGAGACAGAGTTTTTGCTCTTGTTGCCCAGGCTGGAGTGTAATGGTGCACTATGAGCTCACCACTACCTCCACCTCCTGGGTTCAAGCAATTCTCCTGCCTCAGCCTCCTGAGTAGCTGGGATTACAGGCATGCACCACCACGCCTGGCTAATTTTGTATTTTTAGTAGAGACAGGGTTTCTCCATGTTGGTCATTCTTTGTAGTTATTTGCATTTAACTGATTGATTTCTGCATTTGTAAGTTCTCCTTCTATTTAGAATTTCCCTAGATATGGCCTTTATTTCAAATAACTTGCTGCTGCAAGCTCGTGTCAATGTCATTTCCCAAACCAGTCAGGAGTTACGGAAGGCAACATTGAGAGGCTTTTGACTCTCCTTGTTTCCAGGCCCTCTCAGGTCAAGCAGGTTATCAAATAAATATTGTGAATGGTATTGTTTCTATTAAAAGATAGATGCTAACTTATTTTTAATAATTTCACATTAAAGTCAAGACTCTCATATACACATGCATACACAATAGTTCAAGTTTGTTAACACAGAAAAATCTGGAGATTCCCTAATTTAATGCTAAACAGTACATTACAGAATCCACTCAAAAAGCATACTGGGTTAAATAGTGTTCCTCCAAAATTCGTGGCCACCTAGAACCTCAGAACACGACCTTGTTTGGAAACAGGATTTTTGCAGACGTAATTAGTAAAGATGAGGCCATACTGGAGTAGCACGGGCTTAGACCAATGACGACAGTGTCTTTACAAAAAGATAAGAAACACAGAGGCACAGACACACAAAAGGAAGACAGCCATGTGACAATGGAGCAGAGGCTGGAGTGATGCAGCTGCAAGCCAAGGAAACCCAAGGATGATCAGCACCCAGCAGAAGTGGGGAGGGTAAGGAAGGACTGTTTCCCAGGCCTTCCGAGACAGTGAGGCCCCGATGACACCTGGATCGTGGATCACTGGCCTCCAGGAACTGCAAAAGGATATATTTCGGTTGTTCAATGCAATCAAGTCTGTGGCAATTTGTTACGGCAGCCACAGGAAGCTAATATAAATACTAAATAAAAATATTTGCATTAATTCATAAAGACAGTTGAATGTCTGCCTTATTCAAATACAAATTTTGTTTGCTGCAAACCTCAAATAGCCAAGCCTGCAGTGTAAATGGTAGAAATTCAGTGATGTATACCCCTATCTATATTAAATGTACAAAAGACAGAAAAATAATACCTTCAGGCATAGAAATAAAATAAAGCCATAAGGACGTGGGTGTTCAATTGAAGAGGGAAAAAGGAAAGGAGGATGCACACACTCGCAGGCAGCCTCTGTGATGCACAGAAGCAGTCTCCTCCCGCGGCTCTGCTTTGTGTCTCACCTAAGCATTTCCCCTGAGCCCACAAAAGGAACAAGCACTCGGTGGTCTTTCTCTCTGCCCTAATTCAGCTGTGCTGTAAATTCTTGTTCTCTGAGGAAGCTCCAAGGAGCATGACCGAGATTTTCTTTCCTTTTCCCTTCTGTGGTGTGCACCTGTGCATTTTGGATGCCTGCACCCCAGAACGAACTAGCCACAATGAACATGTCCAGCATCATACCCTACCCATCTCCCCCGCCAGGACTGTCCAGTCCAGCTCCTGTGTGCACCCGCGGGTCTCCTTTCCCCTCAGAACAGCCTTCCAGGCTCCGTGGACATAGACCTTGACCTCATATGCACAGAAAAGGCTCTGGGAACACAGAAGTAACTATAAGTGGCTTCAGAATGGTCTTTTTCTGCAGTAGAAAGAAACCTGCTGTGCCACAAGTTCTATTCCTGGTGCCACACTCTTCTGCTTCTTTAAGAAGTAAGGAAGTAGGACCTGTCCCATCTCTTTATAGCTACATAGTAGAAAGGAATTATTTTGGCAACTTACTTTCTTTATCAGGGTATTATATGAATGAGCACTAGCCACCATTTATTTAGGACCTACTATGAGCAGGGTATTAAATATTAACATTTAATATTTTATATCTGTTACATTATTTGTGATTGTTCAATATATTTTGTAACTAAAATTCTTTCAGATACAACCCGTTGAAATTATAATAATTAAGGTATCACTTATGTTCCTTCCTTCCAAAGGAGGCCATGGTAGCACAGCACAAACAAGAAGTAAGGTAGTGCAGGGGCCGGGTGCAGTGACTCATGCCTGTAATCTAGCACTTTGGGAGGTTAAGGCAGGCAGATTGCCTGAGGTCAGGAGTTGGAGACCAGCCTGGCCAACATGGTGAAACCCTGTCTCCACTAAAAACACAAAAGTTAGCCAGGCATGGTGGTACACACCTGTAATCCCAGCTACTTGGGAGCATGAGGCAGGAGAATTGCTTCAACCCAGGAGGTGAAGGTTGCAGTGAGCCGAGATCGAGTCACTGCACTCCAGCCTGTGTGACATAGCAAGACTCCATCTCAAAAAAAAAAAAAAAAAAAAAAAGTAAGGTAGCGCAATAAATGATGGGTGACGAAGTGAAATGTATGTGTAGACATGGACAGTGGCAGTGAATGCATCTAAATTATCCACCAGGAGATTTCATATTTAAAAGAAATCAGCTAAATTAATGTGACAAAGTATATCAGAACATAAGATGAAAATCCTGGATGAAGCACACTCTACCTCTTCTGATGCAGGGAATAAAACAGAGCTGCCCCCAGTGCCCCAGAGATGCCTGTGTGCTGTGGGTGGGAGCAGGCTGGGAAATGATACCCAAGTCCTCTTCAGTGCTACGTGTTACTCATCAGATGGGGGTGCCTGTGCTGTGCTAAGTTCTGAGTACACATTGAGAAAAGAGAAAAAATATTTGTAGTTTGGCCAATTAAGTCATACTACAGGCCAAATTGGAATTGGAACTTGAGGATGGATAGGATTATAACGGGGAGAATAGACCAAGGAAAGGTCCTCCTGAGTGAAGACTAGCACTCCAGAGGACAGAAGCAGAGTGGAACAGAACTTGTTTAGGTAATTATAGGGGTCTAATTTCACTAAGATCTTGCAAGAGGACTGCTATAAAAGCAAATTGGAGGGGGAAATATAGAGTCAGATGTTACAAAGCCTCGAATGGAAGTTATGTTTTGCTTTGCTTTTGTGGTAGGCAATGAGGATTACTGAAGGTTTTTAACAGGGGAGTGATGTGATTAAAATATAGCTTTTAGAACATTATTTTCCCCCACAATTTTTCTTGAAACATTTTCAGGCAAAGCGATACAATAAAATATTAAAGAATAAAATTCAAAATAAAAGAAAGGAGAAATGAGAGAAGAAAAGATAAAGTCAGAACGATGCTAGTTAGTACCACAGAAGAGCTAGCTTGGAAGTTGTGGGCAGGTAGGCTGGGAAAGAAAGACACAGAAGACAATTGGGAGACGACGGGGATGAGCTAGTCTTGATGAACAAGGGCATCAATCAGGGCAGAGGTAGTAGTAAGAGAAAAGAAAGGATGAATTAAGCAGACACTCTGAACAAGGAATTGACTGAATTTAATGACTAAAAGGCAAAAAAGACGAGGGCTACTGTGGATCTCACCGCTTCTGTTCATCCGCAGTCAGCTCCAATCATCTTGGGTGTTTGCAGTTTTTAGTGGCATGCCTTTAGGTCTTTTAGTTGAATTGCCTCATTATTTTTACTTTTTGCTTAGTACTTAAAGTCGCAATTTTCTTGGCTAAATCCAGACCGTTGAATTTCCCCTCTTCCCTATTCTGCCTGTACTTTGTTATCTCATTTCCTGTTGATTACCTCTTTGGAAAAAGAGGCTACAGGGCAGCCCTCGATATTGAAGATTCAAGTTTTCAAAATGGAACCCCAAGTTTCTCATTCCCATGCCCACAACAGATTGGGTTTTAAATCAATTCGTAAGTCTGGGGCCCAGCCTATTCCCTGTGACTGAGAGACCAAGCAACAATAAACATGATTGCCCATCTAGCCGAAGCTAAGCATTTTCTTGAGAAAGAGCAGGGCTCAGTAAAGATCCAAAGAACCAGCCTTCTTGGAAAAACAGGTGACACTTTCTTAAGCAAGAAGGTGTGGGATTTCTGTAAGGAGGTTTGAAGAAGGAAGTATATGTGGGACCTGTGTCTCAAGCCTAGGCAGTACAGGGCCAGGTCAGGAATTTAGAGAGCTGCTTTCAGGACTGACCCTCATGGGGCTCAAGGAAAGTCCAACTTATCCATAATTTAATGTTTGTCTTCCTTACGTTCTGTTCTGAAAGTTCTTTTCTGTAAACTTCTCCACACTTAATTTCCTTATGAAACTGTTGTAACACTACAATTTTAGTAATGTAAAGAAACCAATAGTTAAGCAAATTTTCTCACTATTTATGTAATAATTTCCAATATTAAACTTTTAGTCCTTCTGTGACACACAGAACACTGTGGTAATAAGAAATTATAAGATAAGCCTTCCTTATAATGCTTAGCAAAAGATTATTTAAGCAATCAATGAGTTATGCATGATGTGGAATCTGAGTTAAGGAAATAAATCTGTGACCTAAAAGATACACACCACACACACACACACACATACACACACACACACAGCATCATCCACAGTGCAGCACATTCTTTTGAAGTACCTTGGAGACCAGCATTACCTTTGACAGGTGAAGATGGACTTGGATGTGGTGCCGGGCTCTCTGACTACGACTTGTTCACAGTACCAGTACTGTGATTTGTCACTGGCCTCACAGCGCAACAGCACCTTCTGCAGTTTTCCAAGCGACACTGCTGCTACTTGAAATTTATCAATCTGGTGTGGGAGACAGAGAAAAAAAACCTCACAGAAATAACTAGAGTCCGAGGCATGGCAAATGCAGGCAATAGTAATAGCCCAATGACTGCCAGAAGCAGCACAATACTTTAAAAGAGATAATGTTACTATAGTTAGCATCAAAAGGGGCAATATGGTAAGAAAAATAAGCAAATTACTTTTTATCTATCAAGAATATATTTCTGGCTGTTTTTTTTTGCTTTCACAGTTTTATTTTCTCCATTTGTAGTAGCATCCAGAGTAATAAACAAAGAAATCCCAACACAAAGACTTTTCTCATGTTAGACCCCTACTCGAGAAGCAGTTCATTAGGGTATCAGGTTGACAACCATGCAGCTAATGTACAGCACATTTCCTTTCTATGAGCACTGATATGCTGTGAGACATGTGGGACAAATCTTCTTTCCTTCCTTCCTTCCTCCCCTCCCTCCCCTCCCTCCCTCCCACCTTCAATACATCCTTCCCCTGCACCTTCCTCTGTAGATGAAAATAGAGCACATTCTTGGGTTTGTTGTAAAAGAGCAGCCTGGACTCCTAAATAGAATTAGTTTGTTATATCAAAAATACACTGACATTTCCAGAGAGATTCAGGACCTGAAGTCAGTGCTATACTGATTAAAATAAAAAGAACTCCTTCACACATTACTTCCTCGTAGATGGTTGTTGAGAATAACTGTCCTAAAGTTATCCGAGGAAAGGATCATGAATTTAAGTAAGTCTGAAAAATTACCAGAAATGATAGTTGACTGTTAGCTACTGGCACTCTATGGTAAAAAATGTGACTCTAGTATCACTTGTATTGCCTATGTGGGGAGCTGTCTTAACAGCTCCCTGCATTGTTACCAGGTTGAATTTTCGATTTGATATTTGAAGACACACTACCTGGGTCTCAACTATTGGCTCCATGTTGTTGATGGAAACCTCCTGTAGAGTCCAGACCAAAACCATTACTAGTTCAGTAATGACGGTTCTGTAAACCAGGTGATGAGTATTTGTGCATCTTCTCATGTGTGCATGGATCATCTCATTGTCACTATCCTGCATTCTCAGCATGGCTTTACAAGGGACGTTCACGAGGCGCATCATCTATTGTAGCAAATGCAAGTGATGCCCCATCCCATGTCCTCTAGATCCATTTCTAGGTGCATCTGCTGCTTTGATAAACAGTTTAGGTGTGCTCATAACTTTCTATCTCAATCCCCTGTCTCCTGCTTCTGTGTCTGAGGGCTTCCCCTGGTGGGACAAATCTGAGGGATGTTTCACAGAGTTTCTCTGAAGCTCTCAGCAAGAAGAGAGAGCCATAATAGTAACCAGCTCACAAATGTCCCTATATTGCTGTTCTCCTTTCCTGTCTCACTGTTCCCACTCCTTCACTTCTCAAGTGCTTACTGGGATTATCTCCCAGATAAATTACCTTCACTGAAGTCTTTGTCTCTCAGTCAGCTTTGGGACAAACCCAAACTACAGTACCTTGAGGTCTGGAAAGATAGGCTGAGTCAGCTTTCTGGTCTCTTCTTGTATCTTAAAGTAACTTTAGGTTTGAAGACGGAATTAAATTGGGTCTGTTACATATATTGCTACGTTTTATTATCCTGCTAGGACACCTTGTAGAGAAAATGACAACTAGCCCAATGAGTGGTTTATGACGTGAGATGTGGCTGGTGTGCACGAAGTCTGATAATAAAACTCTCAGACTCTTACCACAGTTTCTTGACTACAAAACTCTTGAAATTATTTGGCATTTCCATTACATCCCAAGCACTGAGGAAAATAACAGAAAATGTAAAATATAAAATGAACCAGGGAAGAAAAACACTTTTACATCTCTGATTCTAAACTTAAAAACGGATACCACTAAGCCCTCACTGTACTCTTCTTCATAAACTGATGGCAACTATATCTCCTACCCAATTTTAATTTCAGTCCATAACACACCCTCCCTACTGTCTGGAAAATGCTAAACACAATGATGAACTGAGGAAGATCAATCATGAAGATGACTTGCAAAATCTCAGCAGGTAACGTCCCATGATACAGCACTGCTGCAAAATGATATATGCTGGCGTCCAACGAGCAGGCAGCCAGGGGACATGGAGCCTCTGCCATTTATCCTCAAGTGGTAGGGTGAAAGAGTCTGGGGCTGATGTAAAGCCAGCAGGGTTCTGCAGGAGATCACTTCACTGATTACTTAGCATAATATTAATAATAATACCATGGTATCTAAAATTTTGTTTCTGCTTAAAATTAATAATTCATTCCTGATAGCAAAAGTTAGGCCTAATTTTGCTTTTGACTCACTCAAAGCAGAACTAGCTTTCCTATTCATTCTGATGAAAGCTTTTGTGTAATCAACAGTGACAAATGTATAGGTGAGCTTTAAGATATCCAATGTTTCAAAATATTTCACAAACTACAACAGTCTGAGAAACAGCACTCTAACTGGTTTAAGGAGTCTTCTTTCTTAAAAATATGCCTTTAGATTACATAATCCCCAAACTTAATTTCAGACCCTCAAATAGTACCTTCTCTCCATATACAACAAAATAACATTAACAATATCCTACTGCAACTTCTCAAAGATCTAATGTATAGAAAGACTTATGCTTGTCCATAAGGACAAAAGGAAATAAGGAGCGGCTTAGGTGTGAAAATAACACAGTTGGCCCCATTCAAGATGTTATATAGATTAAAGGTCATTGTGTTATTATATGAAATATAGTATAATGGCATTTATATGGCCTTATCTTTTAAAATAATGCCTTGTATCTTTCAAGCCTGAGAGAGCACATTCAAAAATGTTTTCCTTGTCTTTTCAGTTCATTTTTTTCTTTCTCTCACACAATCACTAATCTTAATATATTTTCTTTGTTCTATTATTTATTGTTGGTTTAGTATGTCCCATTTTTCTTGTAAGAACAACTTCCAAAACAAAGCACACTAGAAAGTCAGGTCAGGAAAACGTGTTAAAGATGTCTTAAAACTAAAATTTGAAGAGTGCCAAACACCTTTTAAATTTTAAATCATAGATGGCCATCTTCAGAGAGATTGTTAAGAATCTGGGAAATTATTTGTATAGACTCACCTGTCCTCTTTGAAATTTTACTTGCATGTTAGATTTGTACAGCAGTCTGAGGCCAGAGTCTCCCCTCTCCCCAAAGAGACAGAGGAAAACCTCAGACTCCGTTTCTGCATGCTTCAGCTTCCCAGTGTAGACGTCAACCTGATATCTCACTACTGGCAAAGCAACAGGGAGAGAAAACAAGAGGAAATACATTACCTTGAAATCCATATAAACAGAACCCAGATCCATAGGTTTTCAGGCTATAGTGAAAAAAGAAAAACATATATAAGAATTCCTCTAATCTGGATTTTCTGTGTCTATTGAGAGGCTTTTGAGCTTCAATTATTTTTAATCATACATGGGCATTTTTATACCATGAACAAAAGGCCAGAAGGTTTATTGCTTTTTCAGAAAGAGAAATAAAAGATTTTTTAAAAGGTTGTTCTTCTATATATGACATAAGAGGACATTTTATGCTTAGTATTTTAGTGGTAAGGGTGACTGTTATTGTACATTATATTTAAAGTTTAAAATGACGTAAGGTTTGATGAGGAAAGAAATCAAGCAAGGAGGTAAGCTGGCCCCAGGCAAAGCTAAGGTGAGTTGCAGTCACGGCATTTCTTGTCTCTCATAGCCTCAGCCTTTGTGACTGTGGCTGGGCCACAAGAACAATTTTGAGATTACATTTAATCTAAGATCCACCAGCAACTCATGCTGTGACATTAAAAACGTCACTTCTCAGGAGTAAAACAACTCTCCTAGAAGCAGGAAAAATATTCTGTAACTAAATAGCTTAGAAGCAAATTTAAGCAACTACCAAACAATTTGTCTATGGAATAGATGCTACTGAAGATTAATAACACACATGGAAAAATAGCTTGTCCTCCTTTTACTACAGGAAGCTCACAGACAACATCCCCATCTGCCTGAATCCAAGAGAGCCGCACGTTTGCTGCAAAATCTAGGATCTTCTTGCTTTTCGTATGTTGCATGGTCACCTGGAATTAGAAGAAAAAATGACCAAATTGTGTCATCTCCAATTTCTCAAAGAACTTGGAATTCAAAATGCATCCCAGGGATTTCAAAAATGTACTGCATACTCTGATGATGGTGATAGTGGTGATGGTTCTTAGTAGTATTAGCAATAGTAGTAGTAGTAGTAGTAGCAGGTTGGTGCAAAAGTAATTGCCATTTTGCCATTACTGTTAATGACAAAACCACAATTACTTTTGCACCAACTTACTAGCAGCAGTAGTAGTAGTAGCAGTAGTAGCAGTACCATCAGCTGTTTATTAGGCAATTTTTATTTGCCATGTATTATGGTAAGTGCTTTATTTTAATTATCTTTTAACCTTAACCAACCAGACTTGTAAAATTCTTTCAATCTAATAGATAAGAAAATGGAGGCATGAAGATTTGAAATGGACTCTAGCAGATTCAAAGCTCTCAATTTCACCTGTCGTAGTGATTTGAAAAAAAAGCAATCTCAGAGAACTCGAAAGGAGGTCTTGTGTTCATATCAGTCACCAAAGCAAGACATACATCAGAACTTGAAAAAAAAAAAAAAGTGAATGCCTTTTGCCAGGTGCTGTGGCTCACGCCTGTAATCCCAGCACTTTGGGAGGCTGAGGCGGGTGGATCACGAGGTCAGGAGATCGAGTCCATCCTGGCTAACACGGTGAAACCCTGTCTCTACTAAATACACAAAAAAATTAGCTGGGCGTGGTGGCAGGCACCTGTAGAACCAGCTACTTGGGAAGCTGAGGCAGGAGAATAGCGTGAACCGCCTCCCGGGGCGAGATCACGCCACTGCACTCCAGCCTGGGCGACAGAGTGAGACTCCGTCTCAAAAAAAAAAAAAAAAAAAGTGATTGCCTTTTAAGTGTATTTATAACATCTGTAGGCTCTAAATAAACTCCCAGTTGCCACAGACCAAATGCCTGCACCTTCCAGCATGCAGGCAGCTGCCTTTCCCCGCAGCCCAGTGACTCCTCCATAGACCCCTCGTCAGCCCTTTTGGTGGCTGTTCCACACAAAGGCCCCTTCCCTTTATCTTCCCCTTCACATGCCAGCAGACTAGCAGAGGACTTCCAGGCATAAGCCCACAGTTGTTTGCCTTGCCTCCTATCACGATAGATAAAAATGTCCTTATACTTTTAAGATTCCAGCTAATCTTCTAAATAAGTCCCCATCCCTCCTCAATTTTCTCTGCTTCCTGGTCTTCGGAGCAGGTGCCACCATTTCTCAGATGGCTTATTCTTCAAGCTTGCTGCCATAACCCATTGTCTGCTGTTCTTGCTCTCTTCCAATCCTGCCTTTAGCCTGTTTCAAGAGAGACTATTTTAAAACAGAAATATGATCATTTTGCACACTGCACACAACTTTTTTTAAACAGTCCTTCCTATAGTATAAAATCCCAAATCCTCAATACAACGAGCACTTCATGATTGGGTCATAATCTTGCTAGATACTTCTCCCTCACGTGCTATGTTCTAGTTGTACTGATCTGTTCATGGTTCCTCAACCTGGCTACATTCCCTCTCATGTCAGTTTTCACATACACTCATAGCTCTGCTTAGAACAGTTTTCATCCCGACTCATTACCATAATGACTCTGCCCATCCTTCATAGCTTACACGTAACCTCTTCTAAGGAGTTTTTTGTGAGCCCCCAGTTTGGTTCAGCAACCCTACTTTGTGATCCACGACAGCCTCCCCATTCATGATTTAAGAGCTAATATTTGACTGACTTGAGGGAAGAAACCATGTCCTATCCATCTTGATACTACCACAAGCTTTCACAAGGCAGTCGTTGGGTCGTTTGTTGAATGAATGATCAAATGAATAACTATGTGAAATGTGTTTTTGTCAACACAGGTTACAGACTAACTCAGCACACCTGATTATTAATGAGTGACGACTGTATCTTTACTTGCTCCAGGCAAGAGGTCTTGAAAAGAACGCTGGACAGCTAGAAAAACTGTGACCAAAGTCTAGCTCTGGCATTTCCAACTGACCATGAGAAATCATGTAACCACTTTGAATATCAGTTTTCTCATCTTTAAAATAGAAATAATGACTATCTCATACGGTTACTGTGGATATTAAATGAGATTATATGTAATGTATAAAATTTTATATAAACTATATAGATACTTCATATTAACATTAGTGAAATGTATATATGTATACATACATTAATATTAAAAAGGTTAATATAATGTATTCTGCTAAAATTGGAAATGTTCTCTTTGGATTATATCATTCTTTATTTAGACAGGGGCCAGTGTCTGTGTGGAATTTGCACATTCTCCCTAAGTCTGTATGGGTTTTCTCCAGGTCCTCCAGTTTCCTCCAACATCCAGAAGTTCTGCATGTTAGAGGAACTGGTGTGTCTACATGGTCCCAGTGTGAGAGTGTGGGGGGTGTGCAAGTGTGTGGGTATGAGTGTGCCCTGCAATGGGATGATGGCATGGCGTCCTGGCCAGGTCAGTTCCCGCCTTGCACCCTGAGCTGCCAGGACAGGCTCTGCCCACCGACAACTCTGAACTGGAATAAGCAGGTTGAAAAATGAACGAATGAATACAAATGATTGTCAAATAAAAATTTGTAACGTCTATAATAATCATACAAATGTACAACAATAAACAATTAGGGGACGAAAGCACTCAGTGAGTTGTCATGTTTGTGATGGTTTTTGAACTGCATGGTGGGAGGAGGTGGTCCTGACAATTTCCCTTCGCAAACATTTATTCCTTGATTTAACTCACCAAAACTACGACTGCTATCACTCACTAATTCACCAAATATAGGGTAAAACTTTCTTACTTGTTTTCATTAATCTTTATTAAATTTATGTATAGCTCACATTTATTTCAATGGTTAATATGTGAAGTGTTTTGGACTTTTATAAGATTGGTGATGTTTTTGGGACCAGAAATATGCACTAGAAATTTAACTCTTGTTTGTATCGGTTAGCCTGTGGTAAATTAGTTTCGTTATGCCAAGTTTTGTTTGAAGTCACAGTTTCCAAGAACCTAAGAAAATGTTAAGCGATTACAAGGTCATACTACCTAAAACTTCAACAGGTTCTTCCTCTACATTAGCCTCTCCATGTAAACTGGCAAGAAGCCTCTGGTTTCTAAGGCCCCATCATCCCTTCATCCTTAGAAGAGCCCACTGATAAGAAAGCCTCACTGATTTGACTTAAGTGCAATCCCACCAACACCACTGAAAAGCCTCCATGGCGAGGGCTCTAAATGAGTTCCATTTACCTTCAAAGTCATGATGGCTCAAAACAGAAAAATAAAGAATCTAGGTAATCTCCAGTTAGGTTTGTTTTTATTTTCACAAAAATTTTTTTCAACTGTTAAATTAGTAAGAAGGCAAAATTCCAGGACGACCACAATGTTTAAGCCCAGTTACATGATAGCTAATGGCAGGACTCAGTAAAATGCATGTGGCAAGTGAATGAAAAGGATTTGAATGAAAAGACCTTGGTTTATGTATTGGCACTGCTACTTACCAGGTGTATGGCCTTAACCATTAACCACTGAAATAAATGTGAGCTATGCATACATTAAGAAAGATTAATGAAAACAAGTATGAAAGTTTATTTTACCTCATTTTTTGGTGGATCAGTGAGCAATAGCAGTCTTGTGATGGTGAGTTAAATCAAAGATTAAATGTTTGCAAAGTACAAATTGTCAGAAGCACTTCCTCCCACCATACAGTTCAAAAACAAACCAGCACAAACATGGCAGCTCACCGAGCACTTTTATAAAAGTTCCACAAGAGGACCTGTCATCTTCAGGCCCTCATTTGCAAAACTGCCATCACATCTCAATAAGCTGAAAAGTGCCTTATGTAATAAAATGAGATTAAAACACCTTTTAGAAAACGGTTTGTAAACTATAAATGATTACACATAGGAAGTTATTTCCCAAAGCAGAACTTTCTCAAGAATGGGTGGCGGTGTGTCGGGAGTGGGTTCCTTCTGGTGGTTTCGTGGTCTCGCTGACTTCAAGAATGGAGCCGCACACCTTCACGGTGAGTGTTACAGCTCTTGAATATGGCACAGACCCAAAGAATGATCAGCAGCAAGATTTACTTGGAAGAGCGAAAGAACAATGTTTCCACAGCATGGAAGGGGACCCGAGAGAGTTGCCACTGCTGGCAGGGGTGGCCAGCTTTTATTCCCTTATTTGTCCCCTCCCATGTTCCATGTGTCCTATCAGAATGCCCTTTTTTAATCTTCCCTGTGATTGGCTATTTTTAGACTCCTGCTGATTGGTGCACTTTACTGATTGGTGAGTTTTACAGGGTGCGGATTGGTGCATTTTACAATCCCCTTGCTAGCTACAGAGCACCGATTGTTGCATTTTACAATCCTATCCACATAGTGCTGATTGGGGCGTTTTACAATCCTCTTGTAAGACAGAAAAGTTCTCCAAGTCCCCACTTGACCCAGGAAGTCCAGTTGGCTTCACCTCTCAGTGATACCTAAGAACATTGTAAAAGAGCTTGATTTCAGAACATCTAATCTTCCAAGTTAACAGTAAGAGGTTGGTTTTTGTGCCTAGAAGTAAGACCACTTCTTTCCAGATCCACATGCTAGCTATGTGATATGGGTACTGCCTAGTTCTCAAAACCTCAATGTTCTCAATTGGGATAATGATAGTATCTACCTTGCTGTGGTATAAACATTAAAAGTGATCATGTATATACCCTGAGTGCTCAACACGTTTATTGTTATTAATAATAATAGTGTCAAAATTAATCTCAGAGATTAGAGATCAGAATTCTTAACAATTATTTGGGATTGTGGTTCCTCACTCTTTAACAACCTCCTAGAGGCTGCACAAGGAACACTTCAGCCAAATGTTCAGTTCTCTATTACCAGAATGAGAAACACTAATCCAATTCCCTGACTCCTACTGTACTTGGGAGAGCTGACCACGACCATCTGGGAAGACAACTAGTGGTCTCCTTTGGCTCTC